GACAGACACATAGATCAATGGAATAGAATTGAGAGCCCGGAGAACAACCCATCTATCTAATTATCAGCTGATTTTTGACAAGAAGATGAAATCAGTTAAGTGGGGAAATGACAGCCTTTTTAGCAAATGGTGTTGGCAAAATTGTAAAAGTATATGCAAAAGACTCAAGTAAGATCCACACCTCACTGCATATACAAAAACCAACTCAAGGTAGATCATGGACCTAGGACTACAACCAAATAAAGCTAGGAACAACACTAGAAGTCCTAATCCACAACATAAACAGTCTTCCAAGTATCCTGAAAAGCCTACAACCAGGAGAAGATTAAATAGATAAATAGATCTTCTAAGAATCAAATCCCTATTCACATCCAAAAACTTCTCCAACAGGGTGAAAAGGGAAGCCACCGGCTGGGAAAAAGTATTTGGAAATGACATATCAGATAATGGACTTATATCCAGAATTTATAAAATACTTGAGCAACACAAAAAGATAAAGGTAAATAATCCAGTAGAAAAATGGGCACAGGAAATGAACAGACACTTCACCAAAGAAGACATTCAGATAGCTAACAAATACATGAAGAAATGTTCAAAATCCCTAGCTCTAAGAGAGATGCAAATTAAAACAACTATGAGATATCTCACCCCAGTCAGAATAGCAAAATTTAGCAGAATAGCAAGCAACAAATGCTGGCGAGGTTGTGGAGAAAGTGGATCCCTTATTCACTGTTGGTGGGAGTGTAAAATGGTGCAACCACTGTGGAAGGCGGTATGGCGCTTTCTCAAAAAGTTGCAAATAGAGATACCATTTGATCCAGCAATTCCACTACTGGGAATATACCCCAAAGAGACCATAACTGACATCCAAGCAGATATATGCACACCCATGTTTACCGTGGCTTTGTTCACAATAGCAAGGAGTTGAAAACAACCTAAGTGCCCATCAACAAATGAATGAATAGAGAAGCTGTGGTATGTTCACACAATGGAACACTATGCTGCATTGAAAAACAAGGAACTCATGCAATATTACTCAAAATGGGTGAGCCTGGAGGACATTATGCTGTGTGAAGTATCTCAGTCACAAAAGGACAAATACTGCATGGTGCCACTGTTGTAAAACAGGACTGACCTCGGGTTTGGGGGGAGACTGAGAAAGATGGGTTCAGTAATGTATACTTAATTAAAACAGATGAGGGGGAAAGCAGTTTAAAAGGGATATGTGATTAGGTATTTTTGTCATGACAGGAGTCCAGAGCAAAGGCTGCATAGTGAAGTGGACCTGGGGGGGAGGGATTGTAAAACAATGAAAGAATTTTACTTTTCCAAGAGGATAGGGTACTAGGGGGGAGGATTGAGAGGGGAGAAAAGTGCAACAATGAATGGAAATCCAAAGTCTCTGTAAATTTTCTTTGAAATTAATAATACATTTTTTTTAAAAAAGAAAAATAATTCATTCCCCCTTCTACACCTAAGCAATGACTCCCATTTCCTCTCCTTCCCAGACCTTGCTAACCACAAATCTACGTTCTGTAATTATGCATTTGCCCATTCTAAGTATTTTGTGTAAGATGCAGTATTGTCCCTCTGTGATTGACTTACTTAGCATAATGCTTTTGGTGATTCATCCATGTTATAGATCTATCAGGATGTTAATTTTTATTATAAATGAGTAATAGTCATATTACTATATGGGAGGGAGAAAATTGTGCAATAATGAATGAATTTTTTTAAAAACAGAAACTGAAGGGAGTTCTAGTGGCCTAGTGGCAACAAGCTGCACTGCAATCCCAGAGGTGCATGGTTCAAATACACCAGAAGCTTGCTGCAGAAAGAGACGCAATCTCCTCCTGTATCAGTCATATCTGATTTGACAGTACACATACACAAAATAATAAAATTTTAAGAAAAAAAGAAAGAAAGAAACTGAACTGGGGGAGGGGGAAGGGAGGGAGGGTGAGGAATATGTGCAACAATGAATTAATGAAAATCTAACTTTTCTGTAAACTTTCATTACAGTCACAGTTATAATTTAAAAAAAAATTAAAACAATTGGAGAGTGAGCTATGACTCAGGTTCCGACTCAAGGGCAGTGTGTATATTTGACTTTTGCAGGAACTACCAAGCTGTTTTCCAAACAGCTATAACATTTAACAGTTATACTAGTAATGCAAGAGAAGTTCACCTCAACCTTTCTTGTATGTGCTATTCACAGTTATTATACCCAATATACCCAAGCTCCAGAATTATGTAGTTGAGAACTTGTTCTTCAGACCCAAAAGCAGCTGGGCACAGCACATACTCCAGTTTTATTAGTAAAGAGCGTTTTCTTTGCTATCGTGCGTAACTCTTTTGTGATGGTAGATTTAACTGCCAAGGCTCATTTGCAGGCAGATAAGCAAACACACCCTGCATGTTTAAAGAGCGTTCTGTGATTTGTACAGCAAGGGCTTTCTCTGTAATATTTTTCAGGGTTCCTTACACTTGTGGGAGATCTTTTATCTGGTAGGATGAGTACCTGTTTCAGGACCCTGTGACTTAGTTGAACAGCTGGAAGTGGGTGTTAGAAATCTTGTGGTGTCATTGTCCTGGGGAACTTTTCTAAGAACGTTTGCTTATTCCAGGAAGACATGTACAAGTCCCTTCTTGTTTCATTTTTGTTGCCACGTCTTTACCGAAAAAAATAGAGGAATTCTTCCTATAAATTATACCTTTTACAACAAACTCGGGAATTAGATAGACATCAGCCTCTGTAGGTACCCTTGGATGAATGCTGTGTTTGCCTGTTCTCCCTTGACACTGACCTAGATTGACTTAGCTATATCAATGTCTGAAGCAGGTGATACTTAATATGCTTGTTGGATCTGAATGATTAGGAGTGTGGGGAGTAGAAGTAAACACTGACAATTAAACTGATAAATTTTCATCCATAACTAGAAGTGATTCTAGAAATAAGTTCTTTTCCAGCTTTTAGTTGTTCCTTTAATTTTGCTTCCTCTGAATGATCCTTGTGTGGGATTTGCCTTTCACTGTGAATCTAGATTATGATCCGAATGCTGTTGTTAGGATTCTTGAATCAACTATGACTCATAATGGCCTTATGAACAACAGATCCAAGTTTAGCTTTATCCCATGCCATCTTCACAATCTCTTCCATTCCTCTGCCCGTTGTTACAGTTACCAAGTTGTTTAGGGTAGTAACATTTACTTCTTTATTGTCAAGTTGGAACTGACCTGAACCTGACCCCCTGGCGGGCTTCAGAGGTAGTTAATTGCACAGGAGGAGATTGTCCATCCTTCTCCATGGAGTACCTGGTAGATTCGAACTGCACGCCTCTGGATTTGCAGTGCAGCTTCTTGCCAGTAGGCCACCAGTGCTGCCATAACATTTGCTTCTGAATAGCACCTGAGAGCATTATACAGAGTGCTGTGGGCTCAGAGTCTGACTTATCTATATGGAAATCTTCATTCTTCCATTAATTCATTTAGCAAATATTTATTGAGTACTTTGTCCAGCCATTGTTCCAGGGGATACAGTAGTGAACACATTAGGCAAAGTATCTGTTCTCATAGAGTTTATGTCCAAGAGAGAGTATATAGATAATGAGCAAATAGATAAACAAGTGTGTAACAAAAATAATGCCAAACGTAATGAAGAATCTTACCATTTGTGGAAATAGGAAAAGTTACTTTTCATCTTTTTAACATCAAAAAGACTTAGCTTTTTGTCCTCTCAGACCTTCATTTGCATAGCTGGGAAACAGAAATTTTTCTGCTGGACACAAGGCTATTGGGACTAACATGATGGCCGTTGTGGAAAGCAACCCTGATAGCATAATTAGGTGCTTAGCTGCTAACGGAAATGTTGGCAGTTCGAATTCACTAAGTGGTTTCATGGGAGAAAGACCTAGTCATCTGGCTTTGTAAAAATTACAGCCCAGAAAAACCTACTGGATAATTCTGTCATGTCCTATGGCTCTGAATTTATTTGATGTCAAGCAACAGCAACATAGCTGTGGTGGGAGTCACTGTGAAGCACAGATGGTTAATGTACTTGCTTGCTGACTGAAGGATTGGAGGTTCAAGTCCACACAGAGATGCAAAACAAGACTGGCTGTGTGCTCCTGAAAAGTCAGTCTTTGAAAACCCTGTTTCGCCTCTGACAGGTGTGGTTCACCATGAGTCTTGGGCAGCTGGACAGTAGCTGGTTGGCATTACTATAGAAGTGCCTAGGAGACACATAGTAGGCACCCAGGAAGTCTCCCTCTTTTATACCGTCTTCCTCTGTTCCTTGCACATTTACAGGACAGGCTCCTTGCTTGACTGGAGCTGTGTCTGGCTCACAAAGCAGACTGATCGCTCATCAGTCTTCATTCCCAGGACCTTTCACAGATTCTTTGCAAGGATGCATATGAAAACACCTTGAGACTTCCTAGCATGTTGTAGGTTCAGGAGCTTTTGGTAAGTGTCAGGCTTTGTTGCGCCCTTTAGAGAGCTGGAACAGCACATTACTTTCCCGCACCTCTCCCACCCCCTGCCAGTGAAGCACAGTGAACATCCTCATCAAGCCGTCTGCTATTGCAGCTGATCTTGACTCAGTTCTAGTCTGATTGTAGCCAAAGAAGGAGCTTTGTGCTTCAGAGGAAACAAAGCAGGGATTCTCAATAGTCTACTTCTGCAAAATAAGCCTCTTTCTCATATAAACCTTGTCTGAGTATTTTCTCTAAACGGGAGAAAGAGAAATAGAAAACAGGTTCAGCTGCAGGGCTTTTACTCTCAGGAACAGACACAGCTGTCACTGGGCCTGCCTGCAGTAAGAAGGAGAATCCAGACTGTGACGACGTTTTCCAGGTGTGTGAACACCTGTCTGGTGATGCTTGGGCTTTTAATTTGGAAGCTACAAGAACACGGCTGATGTATCTTCTTGGTTTTGCTTCTAGAAGAAGGATCCTGTCCACTAACCTCTCTCTGACCTGGGTTCTTGTCTCCACACACAGGCTGTACACACAGGGATGCGAGCCCTCATCTATAACAGCTCCACAGTGGGGTCTCAGGCCGAGCACTCAGGCATGAGGACTTACTACTTCAGTGCTGACACCTTGGAAGACATGAATGCTTGGATCCGAGCCATGAACCAGGCTGCACAGGTGCTGTCTCGATCGTCGCTCAAGAGGTCAGTCCTGATGGGGCATCCCTGCCAGAGCTGTTTTCATTCTAGGATGATGACCCAGATAAGCCTGCTTTGGTGCCTGGAATGCCACAATTCATTAAACCTGTGTGAAGTCATGGTCTGTCTTTGAAGTCCTTTTTAATAATGAATACTTTCTGGAGGAGAGTATATAAATGGCTAAGAAAAAAAAGTCTGAGAGTTAGAAGGTCTCCTAAAAGTTATCTAGTCTAATCTCTTCATTAAACACAGAGAAATAGTGAAGCATGAGGAAGTGAAACACAGCCATAGACTCTGGGATACTGCTATGTCTGTGTTTCTGTTTTTCTTCTCTTCTGAGTGATAAATGGAACAACCTTGGGGCACCAGATTGGGAGTTGACAGAGAACAGGCAAGAAAAGATCTTGCAAACTAAAAATATACCACAGATGGCCCACCACATTGCTGAAGGCTGACCCAAGAGTATCTAGCAGCTGCCCCTTCCCTCGAGTCATCCATCCAAGGATACAGTTAACTCATAATCTCAAACTGACTGCTTTCAAGCTGGCTCCATATCTGCTCTTTATCATGTTTCCAAGGCTATGAAGCCCTGTGAGAGGAGACAGCCTAGCTTTCTCCCAGTGTGGCCAGTGGATTCAAACTGCTAGAAACGGGCAACATTGATTAGCGGTACATCTTTCTGTGGACTATGCCACCATGAGCTCCCTAAGGGTATAGTTCACTCGATGCTCAGTGTAAGGAGCCTTGATAGCACAGTAGTTAAAGGCTTTAGTTGCTAATCAAAGGGTTGGCCATTCACATCTACCTAGAAACAGTGTACTGTGGAATTAAGGCCTGGCAAACTGCTTTCAGAAGGCTACGGCCTTGAAAAGTAAGTTCTGAGGATATAGTCCAGGATCTTGAAATTCACGGGTCAGTTGTCTATAGACAATTCCCTGAGAGAAGTCAGAAGAGGAATGTTAGTCAGAACAGGGTTTCAGAGAGAACACTATAGCCCTGAAATGAGCATGGATGATTTAATCTTGAAGGCCATTCTGTATCAGTATATGTCAGTCAACTTTACTTTTTTATTGTTGTATGATTTTCTGTACTGTAGATGCACTTTAATGTATTTAAGCATGTGTCAGTAAGTATTGGACATCATTCCTCCTTCCCCTAAGTTTTTACTATTATAAACAGTGCTATAATGAACGAACCTTGTACATTCCTCTACATGTGGAAGACTTTTAAATTGCTGGGTCAGAGTACAATGCATTTTAAAACTTTAATTACTACCGCTTATATGTTTAAAAAAAGACAAAAGATTTACTCATCTCCCCACATCTTTGCCAGTAGTTCATATTATCAGTCCTTCATTTTTGCCCATCTGCTGTGTAAATAAATAGGACCTGGTTGATTGATTACATATTTGTACGATCATGGAGATCTTCCTTATTTATTGACCACTTGTATCTCCTCTTCCGTGAACTGTGTAGACCTGATGTCTGTCTGACACAGTGACTGTGACAATGGGCTCAAGCCCAGAGGTGTGATTGGGAGGATGGCTCAGTGTTAGGCAGTGTGCATTGGGCCACTGTCAGTCAGACCTGACTTGACAGCAGCACACGGTGACAGCATTGCTTTGACTATTTCTCTACTGAGTTTGCATTTTCTCAGTTCTTCCTTTGCTGGTGCTCTGAAATCTGCCTGGTCAAGAAACAGTGGAGTCTCTTGCAAAGGTTGATGATAGGCACTCCAGTCTGGCTATTACTGCAATTGTTTTTCCTTTGTCTTGAAAATCAGGTTACTGTTTGGTAATCTCTATCTAGTATTCTGACACTTCTTCCATTCTTCTTGATTCTTCTGAGCTCGCCTTTAGCCTATGACTTTGACAGCCTGTGTTGCTGACAGCTGGGCTTGGAGCTCGGTCACAGGAGGGAGAGTTTTCTCCTTCTTCCTCTCCATCTTGAACTTTTAATCTGTCTCAACCAAACTTCCTTTTCATAGAGAAGCTGTGGAAACAAATCCCCCAAAATTCAAGAATTCAACCCTCTCAGCTCTTGTGCCTGCCCCTCTTTTCATTCTCAGGAAAATATAGAGTTTGTTATTGTTTTCGTATAACATAACAAATGCTGTTCTAATGGTGTACTTTGTAGGGAGCTGTGCTCCGAACCCAAAGGCAGCACCTCTGGTAGTTTGGATCTGCCTTCAGCTCCTGCTGCATGTGATTTACAGGCTCCACAAACCCAGTGGAGGATGAGTTGACTCAGACTCCACAGCAGTGGGAGTGTATTCAATCTAGCAAATCCTAGTGTATTCTATGCTTTATCTTTATTGCCATCATTCACGTGGTTCCATTCACCATTCACAAAAGAACAAACAAGCATCTTGGAAAAAGAAGAGCCAGAGTTCTCCTTGGAGGCAAGAAGAGTGACACTTTGTCTCACATACTTTGGATATGTTGCTAGGAAAGGCTATTCCATGGAAAGAAACAGCATGCTTGGAAAGGTGGAGAGTCATCTAAAGAGAGGAAGACCCTCACTGAGATGGATTGACATGGCACTGCAACACGATGACTCAGGTGTGTCAGAGATGATGAGGATGAGGAAGGCATGGATAGAGCAGGGTTCAGGACTATTATTCGTAAGGGTTGCTATGAGTTGTACTTGACCTGATAACAACAACAACAACAACAACTTCCAGTGTGTGTCCTCTCATAATTTGAGCTCCAAGAGTTCCCTGTGTTGTAGTACAGATTTCTTTAGATTAAGGAAGGAAACTGCATTTTTTCCCCCCTTTGTGTGCACACTTTGCTCAATTAATAGTAGCTGACTGGGTTCCTGTTTAGAAGAGAGTCTGAGAGTCTGAGCATCAGACCAGGCTTAACAGGGGAGGAGTTGTGATTATGTAATGAAGTCTGCCTTGAACACCTGAGGGTTAATTTGCTTGGTTAGGTATGGCTGTATTCTACTTTTTTCTACCTGGAGAATTTGGGATTAACTGCCAGATATTGGTTTTATAATAGCTTCTTCCTTTCCTCATTGGTCTTAGGCTATTGAATTATTCCTAACTGTCCTCTGAACTTTTTGACAGTTTGCACATTCTTTGCTCTTGGGGAGCTCTGGTCACCTCCTCCATAGAGAGTTGCACTGCTAACCGACAGGTCAGGCCTTTCTGGGGGTTGGAATCCATTGGCCGCTCTAAGGGAGAAAGACAAGCAGTCTGTTAAGCACCTGACAGTGCAGAGACCCAGGGAGGGTCAGCTGTGAGTCAGTTTGCTGATGTTCATGTTTGCCCAAGGTTCCTTTCTATCATATTTCCCCCCTAAATCAACTGATTCTATCATCTGAGTCAGAATAGGGGATGATAGAATCTCCCCCCTTAACATTTGGAAAGAGGAAATTGTTATAAAAGCATATTCAGATTTATGAAGTGTTCTCTTTTATCAGAATAAGATGTTCAGACATTTGGATAGTTAGAATTATTCATCAGGCGGGAATAAATCCTGTCTTTGCTCCAGTCTGATGCCTTGGAAATCCTCCATTTCTGTAAGTACGTGGCTCCAACAGCAGCATTTCCTTTTCTCCTTCCCCGAGTTTCACTCAGATGTTTCCATCCTTATCAATACAAACTGGCATTTTCTTTATGCATAGTGGGTATGTTGGGTATCTCGTTTATAAATTATATAAAACTCAGCCAGCCTTCTGTACTTAGAAAAACAGCCATTTTCTTGGCCACTGCAAAGTTTAAAATAGATCTGACTTTACAAATAAATAGCTGGGTTCAAGATTCAACCAATGCCATTACAAGTAATTTTGCTTAGACTCTGAGCTCGTCCCACTGCTGGGTTGGCTTCATTCTTGAGCTCCATGGGGAGGTCATAAGCAGCTTGAGGTCCTGATGGCAAAATAGCTACAGTGGCTGCAGACTCATGTCCTGTAACTGAAAGGCCAATAGAGAAGAGCCTAACTGAAAGGCCAGTAGAGAAGAGCCAATGTCTTTCTGGCTCTACGATTGATTCTGATTAGGCAGGCCTAGATTATATTTAAACCTTAACCCATTTACTGTAGCCAAAGAAGGAAACATGGTGATTGACACAGGCCTAGGATAGGTCCTTCAATCTGGGAACCAGAGATAGAGTTCTAGCTAGTCTAAAGGAATTGAGAGTGGGATGTAGGGTTGCTTGGAATTGGGATACAAGCTTAGGGCTAAGGGCAGAGGAAAAGGCAGTTAGAATAGGGTAACGGGAGTGCAGAGTTCAGGCCAAATGATTTATCTTTTCCATTTTATTTCATCTCTTTCTTTTGCTTTAACTATTTCCCCCCAGAGTTTAGTTTCTAAAGGCTGATCTGGATTCAAATCACAGCTCTAACACTTTTTATATGTATGCTCTTGGAAAAAGTACATAAATTTGTTAAGCTTCATTGTTTTCTTATTTCATAAGATGATTACAGGGATTAAATTAATGAGTTAACTTAATTGGTCTTGAAACATGAGGAATTGCCTCTATTTTGGGATAGTCACTGATTCTAAATGTTCGAGATAATAGTGGCGACCTGCCCGGGAACAGCAGCCGTCCATCTGCAGACTTCTAGTCGTCTTCTAAACATCCGTGCTCTGCATGGTCGAGTTTTCTGAATGGCACAGTCAATGAGAGCTGAGCAGTGCTTCATTCTTTTCTACCATTGTGCTAAATCAAGCACTGCAGATCTGTCTTGTGACAAGTCTCTAGATTTGAAAAGTCATGTGTTAAGTTGTAGAAAATGCAAGGAGACAGGGAGAAACTAAAACACCTCTTTTCTCCCCTTAAATCATGTAGCTCAGTAAGTTAAATGTTTAAGTCAGGCAGAGCGGAGAGGAAGAAACATTGTCTTCACCTTTGCTACCTGCAGCCATGGTCTCCACATTTGGGCACAGAAATGTCTTGTGTAAATCCCAGCAACCATGGGAATGATGAACTGTGAGTAATCTAAAAAATTTAGGAGCGAGGTGGCAAGTTGACCACCATTCATTTAGCCAGAGTCTAAAAATATATTTTTGCAAATAATAAGGCGTTGATCTGAAGAAGGGAATTGGTCCTTTCTTATCAAATTTATTTCAGAAGTGTTGATATATGTGGGAGTATCAGTAACTCCCATTGCTTATTCTACCAATCTTCATTTGTTGTACCGTGGTGACTGGAGTGTTGCTGGGATGCTGAAAGATATGCCACTGGGCTTTCAAATACCAGCAAGGTCACTCATGGTATGTGGGTTTCTTTGGAGCTTCTAGACTAAACAGACTAGGAATAAAGGCTTAGTGATCGACTTTCAAAAGTTAGCCAATGAAAATCCTATGAATCCCAATAGAATGTAGTCTGATATAGACCTGGCTGATCCATCCACTAGATTAGTACTAAAAATGCATCGTGAACTGCCGCAGTGAACTCAAGTATAGCAGCAGATGGTGCAGGCGACATAATGAGGACCTCTTGTTACGTATCAGGTTGCTGTGAGTTGGAGCCGACTCAGCGGCAGCTAATAGCAATATACAGTGAAGACTAAGTTTTACAGCTATACAATTATTTCCAGTGCTTAAAAAGACCGCTGTTGTTGTTGGGTGCCATTGAGATGACTACGACTCCTAGCCCCCTGTGAACCACACATCTGCACCTTGTCCTATCCTGCTCCATCCTCAGCTTCTCTGACATGCTCCAGCCCGTTGTTCTAGTCAGGGAGTTCTGGTGGCCTAGTGCTAAGATTTGGTAGAGTTACTGTGTCAATCCCTCATGTGGAGGGTCCCCCTCTCTTTCTCTCTACCTTTCCCAGCATGATATCTTTTTTCAGGGTCTGGCCTCCCCTGTCAACATACCTACAATGTGTGAAATGAATTTTTTCCATCCTTGCCTCTAAGAAGCACCCTATTTGCATTTCCTTCAAGATGGACTTTGTTCTTTTGGCAGTCTGGGAGGTATTCAGCATTCTTCCAACACCACAGTTCTCCTCTGTCATCCTATTCATTGTTTAACTTTCAGATGCATAGGAAGTAATTGGAAAGACCATGGCTTGGATCAGTTACACCTTGGTTCATAAACTGACATCGTTGCTCACTCTTTAATCCTTTGGAGAGGTCCTTGGCAGAAAATTTTCCCCATGCAATATGTCTTTTGAGTTCTTGACGACTGCTGTTTCCATGTGTGTTGATTGGTGATCCAAGTAAAATGAAGTAGTTGACTGTTCAGTCTTTTCTCTATCATGATGTTTCCTATTGGCCCAGTGGTGAGGATTTTTAGGGAACATTCTAATATGTGTGTGTGTGAGAGAGAGAGAAAGAGAGGTTGGGGGGGGAGGGAAAGAGAAAGAGGACAGTAGTAATATGGTTACCATGATTAAATTGGGCTCTACAATGATCTAACTTTGAAGGCAGAGACTCTTCTCATTGCCTCTGCTTGTCTCAGTGGAAAATATACAAGTGCTAGTACATGCATAGTAATTGATTAAGAAAGAAAGAAAAATTTATATCACAGTTGCTTGGACCAAGACATGATATTCACAATCTTGGGGTCCTAAAGTTGAAGAACTCTCTTTTCTCTTTAATTATGTTATCATCCCTGTAGGTGGCTTATTTGTTTCACTATCTGGCCTCAGGACAAGATGCTGTTTATCTTTGGGGTGTGAGCAACAAGGTGGTATGGTTATTCAGGTTTCACAATTGGAGTAACTGCTTGGAAACATCAGAGCAAATGAAACCCAAAGCAACGTGCCAGGTTTTAAAGTGCCAGTGACTTGGCGGGGTTGTGACCCAGTGAGCACAACGATCTCTGATCTTCTAGGCAGCAGCCTCAGCCCAACACCCCTGGCTGGTTTCCTGAATTTGAGAAATAGTACAGAAGATAACAGCCAGCTCAGGTAACTGGAAGGGCACCAGTTGGGGTTACAGCATTTTGTTTAGGATTAAGCCTCTGATGTACAGAGGGTTAAAGGAAAAAAGAAAAAGTTGAAACCCAGTATGTGTACATTGTGCAGCCGACTTGCCCCTTTATAAGCTTACATAAGGATTGTTTTTCCTCAAAGTGTTGGCCCTTAACTATTTCCCGTATGTTCTTAGTATTGGAAATGATAGACCCTGGATCACATCCCATTGCTGTTATTGTAAAATGACGTAACAGTTAGGACTTATTCCAGAATGAATAACAGAACTCAAAACTGACTAACGTGAGAAAGGGGCAGTATCTGGTTTAGGTGTGACTAGATCCAGGAACTCAAACCACATTTTTAGCACTTCCCCCCACCCCCTTTTAATGCATTTCTTAGCTTTGCTTTCTTAGTTATTGGCATCACAGAGAGGACTAACTCTGATTGGCCTGAATTGGGTCATGTGTGAACTCCTAAACCAACCACTGTGTCTTTAGAGCCTCAGTTTAATTTAATGGGGATTGGAATCAGCAGTACCCAAACCATGTGGTCTAAGAAAGACTTGGGAGAATGGTAGCCACAAATGAAAACTGAAATGCTTTTCTCAAAGGATGATCAAGAGATACAAGATGGGGGGTGGGGGGTGGGATGTGGCTCCTAGTGACACCAGTCCTCCCTAGTGATAGAAAAAAGGTTTTCTCTAGTGATAGAAAAAAGGTTATCCAAAGAAGCACTGTTTTTCACAAAGCTTTGGGTTTTTGTGGGAAAGCTGTTAGTATGTATGTGCTCTTCTCAAGGAATGACTTGTCTCAGTTCTCCATGCCTAGGTTAAGGCCATCAGCTCTGCCGGCACCAGCAAGAAGCAGATTGTAGGAGCCTACACTTTCACTTTAGAGTGGCATTCTTACCACTGCTAGGTTAATTCTGGCCCTAGCCTGTGCTGATTAATCATGATTGATATTCTGAGATGATTGTATTGACTCTTGGGATCTGGATGTTGAGATATAAATAGTGATATTTGTATTTTATACTTTCTATTTGAGGGAACTGTAGTTGCCTAGTGGTCAGAAGCTGGACTGCAATCCCAGAGGTACACAGTTTAAATCCACTAGATGCTCTGCTGGAGAAGGATGGCCAGTCTCCTCCCATGAGGTTTACCGCTTCTGAAAACCCGCTGGAGAGTCAGCTGTGGGTTGGTTGTGACTCTCAACAGCACAATAACAACAGCTTCTTGAAATGGAGAATCCTATGGCTTGGCCATTTCCTGGATTGATGGCTCTCTGGACCAGGGCCTTTTTACCAAAGTGGTCAAGTAGACTGGCTGCCTCAATCCAGGTTCACCTAGGCTGGCCTGGAGCATGTTTCCCTACCTCTGACATCTAAATTGTGCAAACCATATGGAGCCCTTGCTGTATCACCTATGTTCCAGGTGGTTGAGATGCAGGCAGAACTAGGACTCTGTCCCAAGGTGGTGGGGAGAAAGGCACTTCACTTTGGGAGACATGTCATGCATGCTATCCGGAGTGGGCTGAATGTGCTGCTGTCATTGCAGGGATGTGGAGAAGGTGGAGCGGCAGGCAGTCCCCCAGGCCAACCACACTGAATCCTGTCGCGAGTGTGGCCACGTGGGACCTGGACACATGAGAGACTGCCCTTACTATGGCCATGATGACTCCTTTGGCTTCGAGAGGCGAGAACAAGAGGAAGAACGGTACCGTTCCCAGAGGGACACACTGGAGGGCAAGCGGGACAGGAGCAAAGCCCGGTCCCCTTACTCACCTGCTGAGGAGGATGGCCTGTTTGTGGATTTACCTGGTGGTTCGAGAGGCCAGCAGGCTCAGCCACAACGAGCAGAGAAGAATGGTATGATGCCTGCCTCATATGGTCCAGGAGAGCAGAATGAAACTGGTGGGTACCAGCGGGCCTTTCCTCCCAGGACCAACCCCGAGAAGCACAGCCAGAAGAAGAGCAGCATGTCCCAAGTGGAGCACTGGGTGAAGATCCAGAAGGGAGATGGCAGGAGGTCAGTAATTGATAACTACTAATTGTCACCATAGTAATGTAAAAATGGAACAAGTGAGAATTGCTGAAGAATAACAGAAAGTAAGCACATTGCCACAAATCTTCAATTTGTTAAGAAAATTTTGCATTATCGGTGAAGAACAGTAAAATGAGGTATGCCTGTACCTCATCTTTTACTTAGCATTTATGTGGCCTTAGATTCTTTACCTGCTTTATCTCCTTAAACCCCACAACAGCTCTGCAATAAAGAAATGATATCATCAATTTATAGACAAACTGGGTTTTAGGGAAGTGAAAGAACCTTCCAGTATACATAGATAAGTGGTACCAAGTCAGGTAGCCTCCAAAACCCACAGATTGCATCCGAAGCCTTCTGTGTTCCCTGACAGAAGCCCTTGAGATGCCCTGCATGTAGACAGTAAATGATCTTCTCTTCAGCATCCTAGAAATATTTGTAGAAACTGAGTAAATACAGTTTTGTTTTTAATTCCAGGCACGTAGAGAAGAAAGTACTTAGGCATTGTTGACATTAGGTTTTATCATACCCATTCCTTCAGGAAGCAGTTTTTAATTATTTAGAATGCATGCATCTTTTGCTATTTGCAAAGCACTGTGTTTTATTATCATTTTAGATTCATTAAGACATGTTTATGGACGTGTAGAATTCATGGTCACTCAGCTTTCTGGTTGTCCTTGGAAGCCACTAAACAAATCACAAGTGGGAGAAGAGATAGAACGCCATCGTGCATTTGGAGAGCTCTCTGGGGCAGAGTGACCGCAGTGGATGTGTCTGAGCATAGAGCAAGTGTGCCATCAAGCTGATGAACGTGCTAAAATACTGCACCTCATTCTCCCTACTTGTCAGGTCCAGACTTCCCACTTGTGGGCTCTGGAAACAGTAGTGTTTCGAGGGGAATAGCCTGGGCCTGTTTTAAGGTGTGTAGGTGCAGTACGCATGTGTGGGTTACTTTTACCCCTGTAATTTGTCCAGCTTGACAACTGTGAGGGTGGCTGGTGAAGAAAGTGCAATGGAAGCCCTCTAAGCAACTGATAGACATTGTTGTGGAAGAGACAAGGCAAAGAGGCCTTTTGTGCTGTAGCTAAGGGACCTTCCTGCTCCCACGTGAGGCTGAGCACGTGTCAGTTCTGTCTATTCAAATGCTTTTCGCTTATTGAAAATAGGAAGCTACTACCCAAAGACCCAAAGACACAGGAAGGCAGGCTGCTATTCTTGGTGTTGAGCTAGGTGGGCTGCTTGCTAGGGGGTGGGTTATTTTACTGCTGTGTGAGTTTGGAAAATTGACAGGGATTCTATTATATGAGTCCCTATACGTACATATGGTATGAAACTTGTATTTTATTTGAAAGAGCCGTAAGAGAAACTGTTGGAAGGGTTTAACAAGCAAAAGATGTAATCAGATTAATATTTCATAAAGAAGGGAGGAGACTATGCATTAGTCCAGGGTAGTGACAATGGAAAGTAGAAATAGATGGAAAATACATTTTGAAGGTTGAAAAAAAATGAAGCTTGTCAGTGAATGAGATATGCAGGAAGAGGGAGAGGGAAGAACCAAGGATATCTCAGGAATTGTGACTTGAGCAACTTCATGGTTGTTAAGAAGGGAAGAAAGGTTCAGTGAGAAACAAGTTTGAGGGGAACTAAGATTTTCATTTTGGACCTCCAAGTTTTTGAGTTCTATTAAGCTGTCTAAAGGGAGATGACAGGTAGGCAGCTGGATATATTGTATGTTATTACTGGGAGCAAACAGCATAAAGATAGTGCTTCAACAGTAAGAATTAACAGTAGAGATGAAGAACATAGAGTCATAGAGACACAGCTCACAGGAAGTTAGAAATTTCCTCTTATGTTGTAACCCCTCAAAAAAATAGAAGCCATCAGGCTAGAGCAGATAAATATAGGAGAAACCAGAAGTAGGGCAAAGAAAAAGGGTGAGTTTTTTTTGCCTCCAGTAACCCTGTATTTCCTGATAAAATGTATAGATTTAATCCTGAAAGCTCAAGGAAGTCATTGATGATTTTAAACAGGCATACTACCTAATTTTTAATGCAGTCATTTGAAGGGTATTGGCAACAAAGAGGCATCAAGATCAAATAATAATAAAAGTCATAATAATGTGATAACAAGAGTTATGCTTTTCCTACATGCTGGACGCCAGCCTTAAACTCTTTGCCACTGTAATCTGTGATTTCGCAGACTATGCAGCTCCTCTCACACCTGAGTTCTAAGGTGGCAGGTTCGTTTAAAGAAATTTCCCAAGTGTCTCTGATGCACTCATCCAAAAAGCGAGACAGTTTAGTTTACCTGTTAGTTGTATTTTTTTAAAATTTTATTTTAATAATTTTAATGAACATTTACAGAGATTTTTTATTTCCATTCATTCATT